CTTCCCGCGGTTATGTCTATATATATATATATATATATATATATATATATATATATCGTTATATTATTTGTCTTGTGTGGTGCATACCATGACAGTGTGCACTTAATCTGATTTACAACATCAAACGGCATGATGGGCTGTTTTAGGAAACTCGGAGTGATACATCTCAGCCCAGACAGGAACCCCATGCACTATCCACTGCTTTCCTTTGCTGTCCTCTGACCAGGAGGCTGAAGATGAAGAGACTGTTACTTCTTTCTCTGTTGTATCAGAGAAGAGTGAAGACTGGGGGAAAAGGCACTACATGCAGCACCACCTCAAATAAAGCTAGAAACTAGCCGTGCTACTCTTAATAATGTCCCAGTTGGTAGGATGGCTTTGATTTTGCTAATAAATTGTTTCTCGAAGCCAGGCATTTGATATTAAAGTTTGCATTGCAGAAAGTGAGGAAAGACTGCTCTCTCTGTAATCCCTTTTAGATTTGCACTCTATTCATTTGCTGCTTGTTTTCTTAAAAAAAAAAAAAACTTACGCTTGCTTTCTAATCTTTTTGTATTCTATCTGTTTTCTTTTCATTTATTATACAATTAATAAAATTAAAAAAGACCTCTAACACTAGCGTGCTCTATTCTTTTTCTATTCTATCTGTTTTCTTTTTATTTATTATATTATTTAAAAAAAAAAAAACTTGCTACGTGTACTGCGTTAAGCTAACTGAGACTTGTTATAGCACTTGAATATCATTGCTCTTTTGTTGATTTTGATTGCTTCCATTGTCCTCATATGTAAGTCGCTTTGGATAAAAGAGTCTTCTAAATGAGACTTGTTATAGCACTTGCATGTCATTGTTCTTTTGTTGATTTTGATTGCTTCCATTGTCCTTATTTGTAAGTGGCTTTGGATAAAAGCGTCTGCTAAATGACTAAATGTAAATGTAATCAATGAAGCTGTCAGTCACTTCAGTTTAGCATGAGTCAACTGAGTTCTGCACTCTTGTGAAAACTCCAGTAATAATAATAATAATAATTATGATTACGCTGCACAAATATCTTGTTTGCATGGTGTCTGCAAGAAGTTGTTGTAATGAGGATTTGCTAAAATGCAGAACCAACGTAGTTTTGACCTCACTAATTGAGAAGTTGTTATACAATATGTTTTTGAAACAAATTCTGTTCTGTTTATGTTTTTTTTCCTCAACTGAAATATCTGGAAGAGGAGGAAGCTAAAGCACAGAGTAACAAGCCGAAGAAATGAAGCACTCTTAATATATGCTGGAACATCTCTTAATATATCTGTTATGCGTTTTTTTCTTCTTCTTTATTTATTTATTTTTTTAAATAAAAAATGATTAGACAGGTTTTGCTCCATTGCAGTGAGAGCTGGTGCATTCATAAGCAAGTCAAAGCTATCCTGTCATAGCGATTTAGATGTGACGTTTAACACATTTTACGCCTTAATTGCTACTACTGTATTTTTGTGTTTCTATTATTTTATTAAACTTTCTGCATTCCTTAGACATTTTTATAATGTAATTAATCAGTCATGCCTAGAGCACCTTACAGTAAAATGTTTTTTTGTCTTGCCACCATTTTGTTGTTTTTTTAAGTGCACTTTGACAATAATAGCATGCTTCAAGGTTTTGTAATATAGCAAGTGTTAGGGCACTACTGGCAATAAATTGGCATAAATTGTCAATTCTTTGTCTCTGTCTCTGGTCTGTATATACAACTTCCAATATTTACAGGGCTTTTTGGATTTTGGTAAAGATAAAAGACAATTGTCTTTATATAATTTAACATTTTAACCATAGTTTCCTCTGCATTAGGTTAGTACTGTTATTCGTAATACTGTAACATCACTGATAAAGGTGAGTAGGCTATTGACCAACATCACCCTGTTGAAAAAACCAGCATATGCTGGTTAGGTATGTTTTGACGCTGGGATGCTGGTTTAAGCTGGTCCTTTGCTGGTTTATGCTGGTCCTTTGC